ATACCGCAATCTGTTAAAACAAATAAGTGTTACTTCCCTTTCGACAGTACAAGAATGTGCAGAAGAGAGACAGAGTACAATCAGAAGTGGGTAAAACGCAAATTAAGCAATAACCTAGCAACACAAATCAAAATGGTAAGAAACATCAAAAGACGTCTAGTGGTCCAACTATAGTCTGACCAGAACAAGAAATCACCAGTGGTTGATAAGTTTAAATCTATTAAGACCACAACAGGATTGTCAATATTCTTCCTTAAAAAAACGTTATCATTATACTATGTTACGACGAGTTTACCCTATCCATAGTTATAATGACAAACATATTACATACGATCAACCAAATTATGATGACATCAGTAGTGTCCAAGGGATTGGCTGCAACTTAACTATTAAGGATCCATGAAACGGTTACTTAAAAATGGAAAAATTTTGTCAAAGAAATCACGAAAGGAGGCACAAGTGTGGAAATATCTTACTGAGAGTTGTATATTCCATGTGTTGTACATTGTAGCTGCTTGAAAGTTGCTACAAAGAAACGGAAAGTTCTCAAAGTAACGATTTGATGCAAACATTACTGTGTCTACAAATATGGAGTCATTTAATTCACGTTAATCAAATAGATAGGTTCATCATTATGACCAATAATCCACGAGGAGGACGAATATGACACGAAATTGAAGGCACTGCTAGCTTCTTTTTATTCTACCTGATAAACAAGCTTCCGTATTAGGTTATGGAAGGTATTTCGTCGGTATCTTTCTGAAACCAGGTTCAACCCACCATTTTTTCTTAAAACTGTCTTGTACGAAGCCAGGAATATGGCAGTTGTTATCAAATAGTTCGTTTCTATGTGTGTTGGCGTTTGTTTTTGTTGCACTTCAGTGTTCCTGTTGTTCCTTTGTTTTCCTCTTATAGTTGATGTTTTTCCCTCGGTTTTGGTTTGTAACCCGGATTTGTTTTCTCTCAATCGATTTATGACTTTTGAACACAGGTATACTACTGTTGCCTTTATTTATAATAGTTTCCCTTAAGCGTTATATTTTCAATATGTTTGATAGTCTATACTTCATCGGTTTTAAGATAAGGATACCCTAGTTTGATTTGAAATCATTATGAAAAAATTAAGGTCTTGCATATTTTCATCAGTATGATGAAGTCTTCAAAGAGGAGTTTTTACGCCAGACGCGTGTTTCAACTACAACGGACATATCAATGACACTCGAACAAAACAAGTTAAAAAGGCAAATAAAGCACTATTTGAGGACCATTAAAGACCGAAAATTCCGGAAGGTTTTGCCAAATACAGCTAATATGTTATAAACAAAAATCAGAAAATAAAGCCGGATTTGTTTTTACAAAACACTGCACAGAAGTTACTGAGCAACAGGAAATCCTCCAAAAAAATGGTGAGGGTCTCAAATGGTATGGGTGGTTTAGCAGATCCTACTACACTAGTTGGAATCCGCGTTTTGCCCATGGTAACTAAAAATTTTATGATAGATATTAAAAAAGAGAAATGGACAAATCGAGAACTAATTATGAGTTTTAATATACCCTAGTTTTCAACTGATATATTGTCGACCACTACATTCTACATGATTATGTTCACTGCAAATATATGGAATTAAAGATGCGCATACCAAAATGATCCACTGTATTAATGCATGGAGACTAATTTATTCTCTATTTGTTTGCAGCATTGGGTTAATATTGCAGTTGGACTTTAAAACCCCGAGGGTATCAGCAACTTCGATTTTTACATAATTTACAACAAACTTTTCTAAAAATGTCTATTTATCAATATCGAAATTATTAAGAAACTAGGGATGCAACTCCCTCAAGCAAAGTTAACCTTAGACGGATTCGGTTAGTATGTTTAGGTCCTTGTTGGTCAAATAGCATTTCAACTGTTTTGGTTCTTAAACATCCATCAAATATCCTACCTTAATCGTTCCTGATGAAGTGAAGATAAATCCAGAAAAGTGCTTCGGACATATGAAATTTATAAAGTGTTGATTTCATTTTTTTAACTATTCAAGGTAATGTAAATGTCATATCTGCGTCTGTCATTTGGGAAATGTATCTTGCGATCAGTCGCATTTATTTGGTGGATTTGGTGAATGGAGGTTTCGATTGTAGATACAACATATGAAACATCAATATGTATATAAAAAGTGAAAGGTAACACATGAAGCTGTAGTATAAAGTATTTTATATGATAAGTAATCCGTTCCATAAAACACTTTCACCAAATGTACATGTATCTTGGTAAACGAAAATATGCTTCATCATCCTTTAAAACATACACGTTTTATAGAAAAACAAAACTTGTGCAACATTTTACAAAAATAATGAAAATTCTATTTTTCTATCAGAATGACAAAAGTATTAATTTCTTAGTATCTTTATTATCCAAATTGTCAAATGACGGGTATTCAATCATATACTACCTTCTCTGTGGTGACAATATGTAACTGTCATGAAGGAAGATGTTCACTACTTTGATTTGTGTCTTCGTGATGGATACATATTTGAACCTTAGTAAACTACGGTTGACTTTAGCCTTGGGATCACAACAATATCGTCCTTTCGGCTTACACTTTCCGTTAAGAAGTATTCGTTTCAATGTTTAGGTCACTAGTTAATAATGTGGAACTTATCACGGTGTTATTGTGAGGGTTACACATTTTAATTCGTCAACAATGATGTGCTGCAACACGTATTTGTAGTCAAAAATGTTTTGCTTGTAATAAATGTTAAAGAGATTATAAGGAATGTTTTACGTTTGGACGTTGTCCTAATTTCATGGTATCAAATCGTTAGTAGGCGATGGTAAGCCTCTTTGACACTTCTTGTACTGATATAAAGGGGATTTGTAACAAAATGTTTTCAGACAAAATTTGTGCAAACTGTTACGTTTCGAAAAGGAGAGTGAACATAGTTTTGTGTGGATGAGATTATATAAAATGACTTCGGTTAGATATACAACATCACGAAGAGTATGTTATGACCGATCACAATGGCCGAGAAGCATAAAGTTGCATTTTTATCACACTCAACAGGATGAAGGGGGACACGATAAAATAGATACACAATAAATGTTTTTTTCATTAAACCTATAGGATGTTGTAGTTTAAACTTCTGAAATCCATTAATTTTATTTTGTCTTGTGATGGATAAGATCCAATTACCGTAACCATAATCCCGTCCTTTTTGATACTTACACCCAAATTTGTATTCACATGAACAACACGTTGAGTGCCACATGTCGATCAGGTTCTGCTAATCCTTTCCAAATGCTTTCAATGGGATTCTATGTTGCGTTTTGTGGCCTGTTGTCATTCTTCGTTTTCCCGATCATTGTCAGGTAATCTTCGACTCATGATAGATATAAGAAGATGTGGTATGAGTGCCAATGAGACAACTCTCCATCCAAGTCACAATTTGATTTGTAAAAAGTAAACCATTATAGGTCAAAGTACGGCCTTCAACACGGAGCCTTGGCTCACACCGAACAGCAAGCTATAAAGGGCCCTAAAATTACTAGTGTAAAACCATTTAAACAGGAAAACTATGAGTCTGAATATCCCTTTGGTATCTTCCGTCATTTTTGTCAAATTATAAAAAATCTAGTTTTATTACGAATATTTCTCGATTATAGAACTTGCATAAGAGGGTTGATTGATCCGGTTCATTTAAATGTTAATGAACAATGTCATTTTAATATATTGTTTATCTGCTAAAAGGCTGTTCTTTCGTCTTTTAATCCTGCCTTTGGTTTGACCGACACATACCAACAAGCCATGCAATGGTTTCCTTTTAGTTCATACAATTTTAGTTGATCACAAATTAAGATTATAATACTAACTGGGATTTCCATGAGTGAAGTAAGAATTTTCAATTGAATAGCTGGTTGAATTGAGAATTTATTATCCAAATCATACAGGTTTTCTAGATTTTAGAATCATATTTTGAAATAATACAGTAATGTTCATTAGTCTAATTAGTACAAAATATGTTACAGATGTATTGCACATGACCAATTCTTGCTTCAGTTGTAACATCTACCGTGTCACTCCTGTCGAAAGTCTTTATAGAGTTTCCTCTAGCTAAGGCATAATACAATAGCTGACTGGTATAGGTTTACCAAAAATTAAAAAAATATATATAACCATCGGTACATATAAATCATCCAAACAAGAACACTAAACCGAGCATACGTTTTTAATAGTCAAACAATTCACAGTACTGTTACCGATAAAAAGGACAGACATAAACGCATTTTGTTTCTTAGTGTTTCTGTTGTTCCATATTGTTTCCTCTTATATTTGATGTGTTTCCCTCAGTTTTGGTTTGTGACCTGGATTTGTTTCAGTTAAATCGATTTATGACTATTGAACAGCGGTATACTACTATTGCCTATATTTAAGACTTCTTCAGGCATATTAATAAATGTTTTCTGTTATTATTTGACTTACAATTTGTGAATGTCCCGTTGGTATTTTCTCTCTCTTTTTATGTCATTTATACCAATACGGGTGTTAAATATGGAACAACTTACCCTTCCGAAATACCTGAATCATCGAAGTTTAACTTTGATGTTCATATTGTTCAATGTTTATTTTTTTCTACGGACTGTATAATTGAATATTTGTCGTTTCGTTTTTAGGTTTATTTTTACAGAATCTTTGTCGTTTCCTCGTTGATTTATGTCATTTGATATCATGATTATCCTTGATATTTTATATTTCAAATCCTTTTTACCTTAAAGCGTACTGTAGAGATGATTATTTCTGTCCATTTTAGTACTACCTTTTTGCAACAATTGTTTTTTAGGGTTGCTTTTGTTTTTTTTCATACTTTATTTGGCCTTTTATTATTACCTTTTTTGATTCGAGCGTCACTGATGAGTCCTTTTGAGACGAAACGCGCGTCTAGCGTACACAATTTAAAGCCTGGTATCTCTGATGAGTTTAATTAAAAATATATTAAAAATATGTTTATTGAGGAATTCTGGAAAGAAAACAATTTTGAATAAAATTGCAATTTATCAAGTTCAAGTTTAATGATATAATGCCTATTTGATCTTCTACTTCAGCAAGAAAAATAACTAAAATGACACATGTTGTTTACATTCTCAAATGGCATGAATGCATAATGCTTAAATACAGTAATTGGACAAAAAACCAAAAATTAAGTATTATAATATGTAATAGAATAAGTTTAAAATGTGTATATTGATTTAAAGTCATAATATAACATTGACTAGAATACAGATAGATTTTCTTATATCATTTCAATCGCAACTTTGTGTTCTATGCCCAGTTCGGCTTCTGAAATTTTGACTTGTATTTCGGTTTCACCTAAAACCACTTGTACTTTTATTTTTTCAGTAATCATCGGATTTGCTCTTTCAACTTTAATAACTACCAACTCGGAACATCCTTCTTCGTCCGTATAGATAGGGTCTTCCTTTTCTGTTTGGAAAATATGCAACTTAAATACTCCATCTTCACTTGGTCGGCTTTTAGCCGTTGTCTTTACAATTTTGCCTGGTTGTATGGTTTCCTTACGTTTAAGAAATGCATCGAATAGATGGGTACATTTTTCTTTTCCATTCACCATTTCCAGGTGATTTTGATCATGAATTTCAGGGTCAAATGTTTTTTTCTTACTAAACCCATATGTATATCTAGATATTCTCTGAGCTATGATATTTGGTTGGTGACCAAATATAACTGCGCCTTTCATAACGGCTAAATCACTGGATTCGGGCACGATAACTTTATGTTTGGGAAAGGTATCCTTCACTGCCTTTTGAACTAGCTTACATTGGGAAAAACCTCCAACTAAAAGAATCTCAGTAACTCCATCGCAACCTTTCTCAGACAGAATGTCTACCATAAGTGTAAGCAAACAATCAATTGTTGACTGAAATAAAGATGTAAATAGACTGAATTCAAATCTTATTTTGTCCATTATTAGTGACACTTTTGATGACAAGTCTGAAGACTCAATTACGGATTCTAACTCTTGGCCTAAATGTTTCTTACAAACAAGATCTAATGTCAAAAATGGAATTTTCATATTTATTGGTCCAGCGTCATTAGGTTGAAATGATCTTTTCTTATTTTCAAACTCTCTTCCTAGATCAAGGTAATTCTCAAGATGTTCTCGTTTAAATGCATTCATTGTTGCTGGATTGATGATTTTCTCCATCAGGGTGAAAAACTCACAGTCTACTGATGTTCCCCCACATTTACCACCGGATGCAAAATATATCTCTCTAAGTCTTCCATCATTGATTTTTTCATGGACTGTTATATCAGCTGTACCGCCTGTAAGGTATGAATATCACATTGAATCTGTGTACACATTTATATTATTTCACAAAAAATAAAATCACAATGTTTAAACATTATGTCAAATCGTTAAGGAGGAAAGGATAATGAGGTGTCGCTACGGCTATGTCTACAGGAACAAATGAGAACTGTGAACCAAACCAAGGGGATATTAAAAACTCATAAGTAGAAAATAAAACAACAACGCTATGGCAAGAAACGACAATAAGACAAACAAGTCCACAACAAATTACATAAAAAAACTAAAAACTAAGACTACCCCAACAAAAAAGGGATAATCTAATGTGTTCCTGAAGGGTAGGCAGATTCGGCATCTGTCATGTTGCTCATAGTCTGTACAAAATGTCCAAATAGTCTTTTTATATTTATGTTTAACAGTATGATCTATTGGTTAACACTTTCATTTTAACAACACTCAATCAGAAATATATATTCGAAAGACATTACATAAAGTACGATTTTTGTTTTCACCTGTCGTGAAATTTGCCTTTAGATTGAACAGTGTCTTTAACAGCTTTTTATTATTGAAAGTTAAACACAGGAAAATGTATTGCTAACATGCGTTAATGTTTGAAGTAATTGCATTCAGTTTTAATTCAGGCTACAAGATTACTAAATATCTTTCATAACATCATTTAACCACATATGCTATAATCATATGAATAGCAAACAAAAGCCATTGCAATATATTGAATCGATTTCCATAAATGACATTAGCTGTCAGTAGCTGTTCATTTCAGCAGGAAAAAAGCACCAACACATCTCCGACAAAGAGCCTCCAACCCAAAATAGCAAAGCCTTAAAAAACACCATTGGACAAAGCCTCCTGTCAAAAGCCACCTTCAAAATATTAAGGATTTTTAAAAATTAAATAGTAAACATTTCTATACTATACCGACAGGATTATTTCTAGATTCTTCAAAAGACCTTGCATAAAGAACACGATTATACGTTATTAAACGTAGGGGTTGTGTCGTAGAGACTTTGATATAAAGAGGCAGTATCCAGGGCTTATTTTCGTTGAATTTTGTCACTTTGTCTTCAAAATATCATGGGACATACTTTAACGTGCCAATTTCAGTGAAACTTGAAGAATTCATCTCCTCTTGTGATGTGTTATCCACACATCTTCTTATTATACTTGAACTTGTGTAAAACATAATATGGTGCAAACTCGTGATTATAATAAACAGTGGTTGCAACATTACATGGGTCTAGCAATGTGTAAACTTGCAACTTAATTTTTGTCTGAAACAGTTATTCTGATCTTAATATGATCTGAATATATAAAATTTAAGTTTTGTTAAGCTAAACAATTTGAAAAAAGACTGAACAGGTCTTAATTGACCGCAAGCGAATTGTCTTAACCGTACCGAATTTACTTCAATGAATAAGACTGAACATAGCTTGATAATTTATTGATCAGTCTTTTAATAACTGTTTAGATCAAAATGACCGTTTCAGTTCAAAACTTGTTTACTAGCGGCAGCTAAGACACTTAAAACCTGTAAAACCCATCGCTTTGCTTTTTTCACAAATATATAAGTCGTCCACATTAAGACTAGTTTATGCTTAACTCAATAACTGAACAATTAAGTAATATTTTAATAGTAGCAGTAGTGCATATGTTATCAAAATACATTTTCAGAAAATAGTTAGTTCGAAATTACTTTCTAATATGAAAATAATAAAGAATTGTGGATTGATTGCCAATGGGATACTTCTCAAACAGAGTGGAATTAATCAACTATAGGTCACCGCACGGCTTCAAAATTTATCAAAACCGAAGCAGTATGGTCAGCTATAAAAGGCCCATGCATGACAAAATGACAAAACAATAAACAAAAAACAACTGTGACAGCCAACCCAAACACACACACACTGAATTACATAATTAAGACTTTGGACAAGCACATACTTCAAAACAAAAAGACACGAAGCATCATGATAAGATTACTCTCAGTTACTGAAAACCAGTTCATGGCAAATAAGAACTTTTAATTTTTATTTTACACAAACTAAAGTATCCATCAGTACACATCCGACACATTAAGTGTAAAGACGTCATTAATAGTCTGTGAAAAGCATGACCTTGTGCAATACCATAAACTATGATTCATAACGATACAGGAACAAGTTTGCTATACAATGGGCAATTGGTACCCATATGAATACATTACTATGCCCGTAAACCATATCGTCGAATCGTTGATATAGAGTTACAAGAAGAAACTGTTTTAGGTGTCGCTTCCGCTTCAACCTTCATTAGCATTATGTCAGGAGCCAGTTTTTTATGATAAATTCATACTGCGTCGCCAAGATAGGTGTCTTCTGCTATGCATGTATTCCCCGCTATGCACATCCACATCCATTCAAAATGACATAATTGGGAATGGGATACAATCGGGTAATTTGCAGATCAGACGACTATTCTGTTGTTTTTTTTTTTAAATCTTAGATCACAATACCATGTCGCTTCTGAATTGATCACAGAAAAATTCGTATCGGTCAAGCAATTTGTTATGACGACCGTTAAGCTTATGTACTATCAATTTCGAGCATACGTCTGCATAAATAAGCTGGAGCCGATTTTGTGCCAGGAGATCACCATAGGAATTAAGTCCGTATAATGTGATCATCCTCCAAAGTAACGTTTAAAATGAGATATGTAAAAGTCATACGATAGACACATGATATGCTTAGAATGGAAAGTTGACAATTGTAAAGCTGCATCATCACGTTTGTCATTGATTTTAGTTTGAAGTCCTCCATCTGTGTCAATACCTAGTTAAAAATCAATCTATGAAGCAGATTGTATTATCCTTTATACCGAGTTTACTATGATATGTGTGATACCCATTCGGTTATTCAGAACATTATCAATACATCTGACTAGAAATTAAAGAACTTGAGGAGATACTTTTTCTTTGTTTTTTCTTTGAGAAGGCTCTGTATGAATTATGCATCAAATGAGTACAAAAACAAGCAAGCCAGTAAGAATGTACAATAAGTACCCATTGAAATACTGTTTAGCTGTTGGTATATCAATCGCCCGAACTAAACAAATATGTTGTCGAGCAAAAGGTCTTGCATGTGCTGATATTATCTCCGGTGTATTTATTGATGGAATCAGTGTATTTTTCACATAAGTAGATTTGTTCTTAAGTTAAAAATTTTAATTGTATCTACACTTCCAATTTTTGCCTAGCTGCAAAATTGATATGATTGTGAATGAAGATTTTTGAGTACACATTTTAAAGTATTTGTCAGAATCCATATTTGATTGACAAATTTGGTTGAATATGCATGATACATACATAGGTAGAGAAAAAAATAGATACTTTTTTTGAATTTGTATTAACTAGTAACTGACACTCACCTCCCAAGTCAACTACTATATATTTGCTGCCTACTGGAGCAACAACAATGTCAGGGTTAGCACCACCAAGTTTTTGAGTAGGAAGATATTGACAGTAAATTGAAGCTGCTTCTGGTTCAAGGGCTAGTAGTAGTTTGTTTGGAGGTATACCAGCCTGTGAAAATAAATATTTTTTAAGACTATTTATAACATACATCAATCTTAGAATAAATTTAATATTTCTCTGTACTAATAAGTACACAAACTAGTGACTTAGTGTAAAGAAGTCATAAAGGTCTAACAAATCACGACCTTGTTTAATGTCAAAATATAAATATCAAAAGAATGTAGGACCATAAGAGTTCATAACTGTATAGCAATACCTATGAAGTTTTGTTTTAACTTATCAAAAACAAAATCAATACTAATATAGATAAAGGCAATATTCAAATACTTTACTACAGTGTTTAATTGATAACATGTAGGAATAAGTTTATTCCAAGGATCGAAAAATGCATAGGGATTGTATATAAAATTTCGGGATCTTTAAACAATATCGCCGTAAAACTAAGTACAGGCAAACTTCCAAACCAAATTTTTATATCTTTGAAATAATGTAGTAATTTGTGTGCACGAAATAACAGAATAAATTGATAACATCCATTATAATCTTAAACAACAATACAAACACAGGTCAGCGAACGAATTTCGAAATCTACACACCGTAAGACAGAGCCAAAGGAACATCCCCGTCACAAAAACTAATATTAACAGAAGTTATTTAAGACGATATTGATTTTCAGATTATATATAAATAACGATTTTTATGATAAAATAGAATATTTGGAAAACAAAACAAAAAATACCTTTTGAAAAGTCGAGGATTCTGAGTGCGATAAAAAAAAATGAATTTGAATTTTGACGCGACCAATCACAACGTCACTAATTAACCCCATGTGCAATAATGTAATATATATATTCTAGGCCAGAGAACAAATTTATTTCGTAATGCATTTCTTTTAGACAATAAACTCAAATTAAAAAAATCGCACCTGCCCTATCTCAAAAAGATTTTTACAGTGTAGTGTACTACTTTTGGGACAAATTATATCAAAATTATAGAAAGTCTAACAGATTTAACTCAAAATATGGACAGTTTTATGTTTAGAGGGTCTATAATTTAGTTTACCAGCTACACCGGTACTAATTTTTTACCTATTTTGACTGGACCCAAATCACTACTTTACCTAACAATCATCACCCAAATTTTTTTAACATGTAATTTCATCCCCCCTGCCTAATATTTCATGCATAAAATATTAGGAAATAAATTTGGAAAGTGTATGAAAAAAATTGGCAAGTTATACACTGTCCACACAATCAAAGGACGATAACTGTGTCCTCGGACATAATACGATCCTTTCGTAAACTATGTATGTTATATGCTTGTAACAAAGATATATTATATCAACAGGTGCATTTTCATAACAATACAAGAAAAAGGCTGTTATTAAAGTGGCGCAATTGGTGCACATATGAGTAAATATAACATGTCACTAAATTTTATTGTCGAACCGTACATAAATGTTGTCGAGTAGACATATATTATTTGTTATTATCACTTGGAAACTTAACATTTACTTCCATGTCAAGAAGGAAATCTTGAGCAATGAAAGATTAGCTTTATTTATCTTTTGAATTACAAAACGAAGAAAAATTACATGTGTTCTTACAAATACACGGTATTATATTGAGCCTGCAAAATTTTTAACAAAACGTTCTTTCCAAAATATCAGTTTATATCTTATCAATTATCAAAAAGAATTTCTTTTAAACTACTCATTCTTTGAAAGGTGTGAATAAGATATGAATACTAAACAAATATTATTCTGACAAAAAAAAAATCCGAACACGAAAGCTGCATTAGTGGATACGAGTAAAAATGTATTTAAAAAATTGTCTACTAGTTTCAGATATTAAAAAAAAAAAGATTCAATCCCACTATAACTAGGTCTTCATCATTGATAGAAGCATCCCGTCTTGATCTTTAAAAAGAAATTTTCAAAAGATGGGATAACTTCAAGAATTTTTTATACGCGGACACACTGACCCTTTTGCAGAAAAATAACATATTTCGTAAAAGTAAATTGCACAATATTAAAAATGCACACTCCAGTAACCCACATGATCTCTATAGATTTTCCTCAACTTAGCAGCAATATAACAACTTTACCCAATATACATTTATCAATTCATACAATATTTTCTTAGATCGACACTACAAATAATGAGTTTTTGCATTTTAACACTATATTGTTTTATGCTTTTTCTGCTGAAACAAAATTTACTTGTTGTGAAGAAGGGAAAAACATCAAAACAAACGTGATTCTTAAATTAGTTAGAACCTCATTAGCTCGTAATACATTGTACGTGTAGTTGTCTAATTGCCTCCGAATACATGACCGAACAGCTTTCATCCATTCAGATAAAGTGTATAGTTCATTTGGCTCGCGCTAACCAGATTTCTTGAATAGTCATCAACTGCATCCATCAGAAGCCTGAAGTTCTTGTTTCAGTTTATTAGCTGGGAAATTCGATATTTTGGGCCTTTGGAGAACAATTTTCAATACAAGTTGTGCATTGTTTAAGATACCAAGGTCCCCGATAAAAACGTGACCAGTGAGATTCAATGTCTATGGGATGATAGACAAGAGAGGTCTGTAGGTTTGGAATGTACATCCGTTAGGGTCAAGGTCTCTGATACCCTCTTATGATTGAATACATTTGATGCAACTGAATTTTTTTGTCGTGGTTATATGAAATGACCGGTGAAGTTTTATTTTTGAAGTTATCAGTCATATTAGAATTTTTGTAGATATTGTATTCCTGATATTTTTTTTATGTTAACAGGTATTGTTTCCTGTATAGAAATTTGATGAAAATGTTACTAATACTGATAAAACTCAAATCCCTTCTCATCTTTTTTGGAAGTACAATGTAGTTGTCATGGGTTTGACTTGCAGTTGTTATTGCAACCAGTATGTACTTATTCATGTACAGAATTTATATCAATAACGTAAGTATTTTTGAACCTCTTGAAAAAGTTAAATGAGCTTTGAAACCATGAAAATTAATTTTGACTAATGAACCATTAAAAAACGGATCAAAGTCTCAATTGACCGGGTTGCACTATAAGTGAATTTTGTTGGAAATGAATAATTTCCCAAGTCCGGCAAAGGTGAAAAAATTCTTCAAAGAATTTCATAATAGCAGGTGCACAACTCCAAAATGTGTACAATCTTTGTGTGAAGTCTTATTGATCTGGTTTGAAAACTGTAGGAAGAACACTTTATCTCCCCCTCCCGCCCAACTGTTAGACATCAGCAATCTATCAGTCGGATTTTGACTTCGTCCAGCCTTTCCAAAAAATGAGGTCAAGATCAATGTAACTCTACCTGATAAGCGTGTACGCCACACAATCACCACTAACACCAAATATACTAGATGTTCTGTTTATAATGTCTCATTAACAGGCATATCTATGGACACTTAACATTGACCAATGAACCATGAAAATGATGTCAGGGTCAGATGAACCCTGCCAGACATATGTATACATTGCAATCATTATACATACTAAAGACAGTTGACTCATGGCATAAATATCGGATGAACGCACCCGAAACCAGGTGAGGTGGACACTGTATGATGGACAGGAATATCTTGCAAGGTTCCCATAATATACCAAATATTATTATCCTATTACTCATAATAAGTGAGAAATTCACATAGCAAAGAACAATGAGGTTATCGGTCCTAGCCAAACCTTCCCTTCGCCACAGTGAGCAGTGAGCCAGGGTCCAAGGCTATATCTGGGATAGCTTAATGATATTTCTAAACAGTTCAATCAATAGCAAACACTTTCAAGAATCAAAAAAAAAAGAAAAAATATTCCATGTGCACGTGCACAATGAAAGACCAAAAATTGTCGGCAATGTGATATTTAATACGATTGAAATATCCTCTTCAAAAGACACGGATGATATCAGTCAATTTAAGACCTACTCAATAATTACTATATTTTCACGTTTTTTCATTGTTCATCCGTCATTTTAGCCTTTTTAAAATATATAATAAATGTTTCAGAAGAAAAAAATAACATTTGAAAAATGTACTACCAGTAAATAATTCATCAGCTTGCTTGATAACAACAAGTATACCTATTTCAGTATTCCTGAATCAGTTGGATAATATGTTGTGATAGGGGCAGAAAACCTGTCTTAAAAATCCATTACTAAAGGTTGTGAACTACAGGCGGTGTTAATTATCCTATTATGAAGTCGTGTTTAAATGATACTTTGTAATAACAAAACAAACACTCTGATTAAAAAAACAACTGTCGAAAACAGACAGCACGACAAATGGACAAACCGCCTTATGGATAAATCACAAATGTTGGCTTTTCATGCCTTATTCATCCGACTCACACATAAAACTGACTTGACTAGTAATTTTTGTCTTGTTTGTCCGCGGGCAAGTATATTCAAGTCAAGAATGTATTTTTTGAGAAAAAAACCCAGAAAAGTTCTCAAAAGGAATTGAGAATTATTATGTTAGGTGTATACCATCAATGATCGACAAGAAATCAATATATTTAAACAAACAAAAATCAATGATCAAGACGATAACAGCATATAGATAGAGAACCTAAAGAAAAATTAGGTCAATTGATTCTTATCAAAGGTGACAAGAAAATGTAATTTTTGATATACATATAGGAAAACAAAACGGGTCAAAGTTGTTAAATTTTGTAACAAAATCCCCTCTACAGGACGATTCTTAATAAATGAAAATGTCAAAATGTCTAAAAAACGGACAACGCAGTCTTAGGGACTTGTTTTCAGGTCGGATATATAGCACATTATTGGCGTCTTGCATTTCTAAAAAAGTGCACCCCTAATGATAATATAGCTATATTTCTATGCGATACTCCCTATGGACCTAAAAGGACAAAACGAAGAAATACAAAATGCTGAGGGAATTTCAGAGTGTTTTGTTTTCGCATTGGCCATGTCTCTCTTTTGAATACTTGGAAAATGAACAATCTGGATTAGATCAGTGTAGATTGGGCTTTGCACTTTCACAATTACTACTATTTCTAGTGTTACTTCCACTTCTTTGTCCACTTCAATGACTAGCGCTAGTGCTGCAACATTTGTACGTTTACTCCATTTTATTATTAGAACGACATTACATTCTTAAATACAAATATATCCCAAAAAAATACCTGCTCAGCACTTTTCCTCATAAAAAGTTTTGCATTATCATTCCATATGGCTGGCACTGTTAGCACCCACAAGACATCGTCTATTTGAATACCAGGCACCTCGTCATTAATTGTGTCAATGAAATGATCCTTAAGTGCTTTGATTGATAACGAAAAGACATCTAAAGCTAATAATGATTTGCCACCAATGTCTTCAATCATCAAATCTTTCGATAAATTCTAGAAAACATGTACAACATTAAATAACAACAAAACCATTTTAATTTACCTTCAAAATTCTTCATCGGTGTTTCAAGTATATATAAGACATAGATTTTGACATTTCGAATAGAGAATATATAATGAACACAAAACTCGTTTTTTTCTCATATATATAGAGTGAAATGTTCTTATTATGTTCTAGTCATTGTGCTTACTCGTGGAAAAATTTTGCTTCATTTTGTTTGAGGCACAGCTACATTTTTTCTATTAAGCCCAATCCTTTTTATTTTATAATTTTATCTTACGCATCTACGACGGACGTATCAAACCGGTATATCTAGATTATTTTTATATTACTCATTATTCCATCAGATTGTTCGTCACCTTTACAACGTTAACAGCAAATTTAAAACACATTTTTTTTCAAATACAAATAGAACTGTTTAGTGCACGTTGGTGTATACTTTCATCTGGTTTGTACAGCTCGTTTTTTTTGTTCGGCTGATGCGATTTAACATTCTTGTTTAGAAAAATCTACATATCGGTCACGAAAAAAATAATGTTCCACATAATATGTTAATAAAAAATCCTACTCGATGCCATGCTACCTTTAAGGATTTACAAATTATAAATTTATTGTCGCCTAGGTAGAACAGGGGAACATTGACGGAAACAAATTACAAGAATCTTAAATAGAATTGATTTCATATCAAGTACCAGTTAAGGCAAGTGATATTTTAAACACGCAATGAACCAATAAATGAGCATCAAAAGTGTGTCATGTTTAATAAACAGCTGCGCCATGAGCGCATGATACGCCCGTCGTCTTGTGTGTGTATTTTTATTCAATAATCATAAATAGTTTCTGACATACGGCGCAACATGCGAAACCCCCTATTTGTTTTAAAAAATACTCAATAACTCAAAAATAAAATTTTGAATCATCACCAAAAAGTATACAGATCTTAAGATTAATATAACTTAGAAGTGTGTAAAATTTTAATCAATAATCATAAATTATTTTTGAGTTACGGCGCGACATGTGAAAAAAAACACACCTGTTTTAGTAACTAAGTCAGTAACTCAAAAAGTTTTAATCTTATTTTCACCAAAAAGTATACAGATCGTTTGACCATCATAAGAAACAACTATGTTAAGTTTCATAAAATTTGGATAAGTCGTTCTCAAGTTCCGGTACGACATGTTTACGCCGGACAGACAGACGGACAGACGGATAGACGACATTTGTATACCATAATACGTCACGTCAAAATTTTGACGGGCGTATAAATCGTTTTTGAGATACGGCGCGACATGTGAAAAACCCCTCCCCTTTTGTTTTAAAAAACACTCAATATCTCTAAAATAAAATTTTGAATCAAAACCAAAAAGTATACAGATCTTTAGATCAATATAACTAAGAAGTGTGTAAAATTTTAAGCAATAATCATAAATCGTTTTTGAGAAATGGCGCGACATGTGAAAAACCCTCCCTCTTTTGTTTTTACAAAATACTCAATAACTCAAAAATAAAATTTTGAATCATCACCAAAAGTATACAGATCTTAAGATTAATATAACTAAGAAGTGTGTAAAGTTTTAAGCAATAATCATTAATTGTTTTTGAGATACGGCGCGACATTTGAAAAAAAAAAACACAGACCTGTTTTAGTAATTAAGTCCCGTAACTCAAAAAGTTTTAATCTTATTCTCACCAAAAAGTACGGACAGACAACATTTGTATATCATAATACGTCCCGTCAAAATTTTGACGGGCGTATAAAAACAGGAACGGTTTAGCATTGTAAAGTATACATTATATTTTTATGGTGTTTAAAACGTTTGATGCATGAATTCTACTTGGAAGTACTGCAGTCAAAATATTTGAAAATCCAAAACCAACTACAAACTTTGAACAGCAATGTTGACCAAAAAGAATAGCCAACCACGGGGAAGGTATCAGAGATATGCACGATTAACTTCGTTAATTAGTCTTAGTGCGTTAACAATGAACGTTGTCCTTATCAACAAATCCATGATATAAAAAAAAGAGTTTGAGATCTGTTCCACTGACATTTGGCATTGTTGTCTTTTACGGTCAGTGTATGCATCTATAGTCTATTAATATCAGACAACTAGCAAATTTATGGAAATCATCAGAATATGATTGTCCTGTTTGTTGTTGATTAAATAATTTTGAGATTCATGACATTTCATTAAATCAATTGGTGCTAATGTTAAAAAGTAAAATCACAAAAATACTGAACTCCGAGGAAAATTCTTCTCTTAAACAGTCTGAGCTTTAATTGATTTGTTTAATCATCTATATAGGAAAATTTATAAGATTAATTACTCAACATTTACCGAGTGATTTAAACATTCAATAGAAGCATGAACAACATGATTTCTTTTTAAATTCTTACATTTGACTAATACTGTGCGTCTCTGGAATAGTCTTGTTCAATTTGACGACAATCGCATTACCAAACAAACTTTCAATCATGGCTATGAGAGATATAGACATAATTGATTTTCTGATTTCAAAGACATATTCACGAAACTTGATATAGTGGAATATTTTGAGCGCAAGGACGTTATTAGTATGCATTGTTTCGAATTTAGTTTGAAAAAAATAATATAACCGTTTTAACATTTTGAAACTCCAAAATTGAGAACTTATGTGGAACTGAAGGCTAATTTTGGAATAGAATCTTAATATTAGATTAAATTTGAACAAAACTGAACGGTCTTTCCTAACACTATTGAGATGTGGAATTTTTCCTTTGGGGCTAGAGACGGGAAGACGTAACGTTAAGCAACCAAATGAACGCTTAAGTAAGTTTTGAAGCATGAACTCCAGGAGTGTCATTTTATACTTCACTGCTCCTTATACAATGACTTGAGAGAAAGTGCTTTTAGTAATATTTTTTCTAGCAATGAACTACGAAACATGACTTACGATGAAAAGGTGTTCCTTCTGATAGCAAACTATCCTTGAAAGCTGACTAAGTATACAGTGAAAGCGTTCCGACATCGGCGTTCGTGTTATACACGTGCAAAGTTTGATAAACAGTATATTGCTATTTCAATTTTAATAATTAAGTTGGCAGAAAAGAGAGTCTTTACCTGTAATATTACATTATAAAAATGTAACTGCATAATTAATCTGAATATTTTTCGATTCTTTATTATAGTTATTAATCATAATTCATTTTAGAGGACATTGATTTAATCCTTATTTCATTTTTATTCATTTTTCTATTTTTCATTATGAATTACTTATTTTTGAATTTAGCTAAAACTTTTCCATTATATTGTATGAAAAACCGTGATTAAAGAAATATGTTTGATGATTTCGAAAGTGACTTAGAGACCCAATGGATTGGGTGTATTTTATAGTTTAATATATTTGTATTTTGTTAAACTTTTATTACACATGTCACTATAATGAAATATATACCTTCCTATTTTAATACATAAAATTAAGAAATTATTTAAAAAAATGACTAACATAAGACATCGTTTAGTTAATTCCAGCGCCTTTGAAATAATTATTAATTACAATTGCATAAAGGATATATGTAACTGTTTTGTGTTACAAATTAGAAATAAATTCAAATCTCAATTAAGTCACATGTTTCAATCTTTTTATATCAGACTACCTTCAACATTTATAAGGAAGATGATAATTTAATAGTTTCAAAAGACCTATAGGTGACCAAGAAGCATCAATATCAAATGTATATAAAGGCAACAATAGTTTACCGCTGTTCAACAGTCATAATTCGATTAAGCAAAAACAAATCTGGGTAACAATCTAAAACCGAAGGAAACACATCAACAAAAGCAAACGCCAACATACAAAGAAACGGACTGTCTGATAACGACTTCTTTTTTTGAAAAAAATAATTTTTCCGGGAAAGCAATTACTGTTTCATGTGGATTAGTTTTTTTATACTTCATAAGAATAATAACCAGATGTCTGAATAAATTCGTTTATGTTAGTAAAATCTGTGTGGATGGACACTTCTGTGAATCATATTTACAAACGTTACTTATATAAGTAATATTTAAGAGAACCTTATTTTCATCATAACTCGTAAAGATACTTGTTTTAGTAATGCCTCTGACTGTTATAGCTTGTAACTTGATATTAGCTTAGTGAAATGCCTCAAATGCAATGTTATGCAACATGTTCAAGATATAAAGATAATCTCTACATCGCATTAATGGAATGTCTATTTTTGATTTGATATCTCATATGTACCTTGTTTTGGTATAAGATCATTTTAATTCTGGAAAAGTAGAAGTAGCCTTCGTGAAGTTCCCTACTAACTAAGTCGGCATATCTGTTTTCTGCGTCGTATCCAAATGCAACAAAGTTTTTGTCAGAATCAAGTAGCAGACATGTAGGGGTTTTTAATGACAAGAGTTGTGCACTCCCAGCATGCCAAGCCTGAGGTGCATGGATGTCCAGTGGATTTCGTGTAAAGTCGGCACGGGACGAAAACGCATACCCAGAATATGTTGTTCCAAAATCTATTGCAGCAACAAATAGGTAATCAGACTGAGCCATTATATCTGTTCAATTGCACTTTTCACAAAGAGATCAGTTTGCAGCAAGGCGTCGTCAATTGAAGTTCCTAATTACCTTATTTCAGCAAATTGTTAAGATGCCTGACTAAATTAAATAGACAGATATAGATTACGTATGGCAATACAGGAAAAAGGGTAGCTGAAAGAAGAATAATGATACGATATCGATACGAGACGTTATGACTCATCAGCAACGCTTAAGCACAAAATAATTTTGAAATACAATGAATAAGTATATTAATGAGTGAGGGGATATTTCGACTAAAAGCGATCATAAAGACATAGCCAAATCCATCAAAGATCAGGTTTGCCATAGAGATTTTGGAACCTTAGTTTCTTAATAATGTCGTTGTTTATCAAAAGAAAGGTAATAAACAGAAATAGCTTTCGAGATGTAATTGTAAAAAATGCATATCAAAATAATCTCAGAATATCAAATGGCACATATATTTCTAGAACAGTTAAATTGGTTCCATACAGTAAAAGGTGACCAAAGAGGAACATAAAATGCCGTTTTGTTTGCAAACAAAGGCGGAATAGAACGAACTCGGAATACCTGATTTAAAATTCGTTTTTAATTGCATTTTAATGAATTTATTTTTATATGAATCACTAAGGACTTGCAAATGTATTTCGGCTGATGACATTTCGTTTAATCAGTGGCCAATAGACTAGTTTCGATTAGTACCAAAGAACGTCGTTATATAGTGTAAAAAAAATACCATGAATTCTAAATATCAAAATCATATGTCCCGTTACAATAACAGAATTGTGCTTGATAAAAATAATAATCAGCGAATTTTAACTTGCCATGATTAGTTCGACAAGAACTACTAGCGGTTCAAATACAACTTACCTCTCCGAAGCACCTTCGTTAATCCCTGGTTTTTAATGGAGTTCGTGTTGCTTAATATTACTTCTCATTATAATTTTGAAAATAATATTTATTAACTTCTGTTTCTATGCAAGCAATTTTTTGGCCATGGTGATTTCTAAATTTCGACGAATTATGGTAATTTATTGCTCCTTTGATTATTTTATTTTTTTCATTTTAAGGCTTGAAATCACAAATGTATGAAGCCTTCATTTTTTGTATTTACGTATTAATTTGTTATTCGACGAAAGCAATGACATCATAGGAAAGAAGGAATCAGAGGTTAAACTCAAATAGCTGGATGGAGGTTTGATACTGCTGCCAATGTATCTTCTCATGAGACAATCAAAAGAATTGTCCCAAGGTAAGCTGACGAAAGAATGACGTAGATCACTTCCACATTGCAGTTAATATATTATGCTATGCGAACAAACAGAAAATAAAGATAACCCTTTATGAATTTCGTGAAATATGGTTCCAGGCTCCAGATATTTTTTTCATGGAAGATAATAGGCTACTGGTTATTTCTGGAATTGAATTGTTTTGGATATAGTGTATATCATAATTGACGTTTGTGTATTTGTAGTATAAAATGATGTTTTAGTTATTGCAACCAGGTTGAAATACAATAGGAAAACTAATAAAACATAATTTTCGATGATGTTGAATATTTGATGTCCATCCTCGAGATATAGTTTAAATTCTGAAGGATTCTGGAAAAAGAAATTCAAACTTCTAGGGCCTACCTGTTACCGTTGCACTGAACGCTGCAAGGCAAATTGACGTATGGTAATCAGTTGCCAAATCAGTTGCCAAATACAATTGAACGTGGTTGATTTTCAATTCGGCGAGCAGATCTTCAGGAACTGTTAGAAATCAAATCAGCATAATGTTATGAATGTAATGTAAAAAATCGATGAATTTGTATAAATAAATCAGTTGTTGTAAATGCTATACTAATTGTTATGGTTACAACTGGCAAGTTCACATACTTATTATCTACTCAAACAATAAAGCATAATATAATTTATTTGTGTTTATTTACTTTCACTTAAAGATAGAAAAGAAGATATGAATACTGAAAAAAAATATTGGAAAGAATATGAGAATCAATTTCCTGACAATGCAAAAAACAGAAAGACATCTAAAGGAAACATACGTTCGTCAGCATTATACAGGATTCAATACCTACTATAAATTGGCCCTTGTCTTCAAATTGATTTTAAAATGTACAATTTTGTAGTCATTGTGTTCCAATATTGCTGTCATTTGAATTATACATTCTATCATGACATAAAAATATTGCTCATTTACTATGCGGCTATATAGATTTACATATTAATAAAGTGCAAATATGGTTAGTTTAGGTTGATGCGGTCAAATAATTTTGTTATAGGAGTCAGCCTGAGGTATCAAAACTACTGAAATTTTGTTGCAAGACAATAATTTGAATTAAAAGAGGACATGCTGGCACTCTAAATTTGTGCAGACAAAATTTTGTAGTCATTGTGTTCCAATATTGCTGTCATTTGTATTATACATTCAATTCTGACATAAAAATATTGCTGATTTACTATGTTGCTATATAGATTTACATAATAAAGTGCAAATATGGTCAGTTTAAGTTTATGTGGTCAAATAATTTTGTTGTACAAGTCAGCATGAGGTATCAAAACCACTGAAATTTGGTTACGTATCAATATATTCAACAAAAGGAGGACATGCTGGCAATCTAAATTGATGCGGACAAAATTTTGTAGTCATTGTGTTCCAATATTGCTGTCATTTGTTTTATACAATACATCCTGACATAAAATATTACTGAATTATTATGCAGATATATAGATTTACATGATAAAGTGCAAATATGGTCAGTTTAGGTTGATGCGGTCAAATAATTTTGCTATACAAGTCAGTCTGATGTATCAAAACAACTGAAATTTTGTTGCGAGACAATATTTTGAATAAAAAGAGGACATGCTGGCACTATAAATGTATGCAGACAAAATTTTGTAGTCATTGTGTTCCATTATTGCTGTCATTTGTATTATACATTCTATCCTGACATAAAAATATTGCTGATTTACTATATAGATATAAGAAGATGAGGTATGAGTGCCAATGAGACAACTCTCCATCCAAGTCAAAATTTATAAAAGTAAACCATTATAGGTCAAAGTACGGTCTTCAACACGGAGCCTCGGCTCACACAGAACAGCAAGATATAAAAGCCCCCAAAAATTACTAGTGTAAAACCATTCAAACGGGAAAACCAACGGTCTAATCTATATAAAAAAACGAGAAACGAGAAACACTTATGAACCACATCTAGATTTACATATTAGAGTGCAAACATGGTCAGTTTAGGTTGATGCGGTCAAATAATTTTTTTGTACAAGTCAGCATGAGGTATCAAAACTACTGAAATTTGGTTACGTATCAATATATTGAACAAAAGGAGGACATGCTGGCACTTTAAATTAATGCGGACAAAATTTTGTAGTAATTGTGTTCCAATTTTGCTGTCATTTGAATTATACATTCTATCCTGACATAAAAATATTGCTCATTTACTATGCGTCTATATAGATTTACATAATAAAGTGCAAATATGGTTAGTTTAGGTTGATGCGGTCAATTAATTTTGTTATAGGAGTCAGCCTGAGGTATCAAAACTACTGAAATTTTGTTGAGAGACAATATTTTGAATAAAAAGAGGATATGCTGGCAATCTTAATTGATGCGGACAAAGTTTTGTAGTCATTGTGTTCCAATATTGCTGTCAGTTGTTTTATACAATACATCCTGACTTTAAATATCACTGAATTATTATGCAGCTATATAGATTAACATGATAAAGTGCAAATATGGTAAGTTTTGGTTGATGCGGTCAAATAATTTTGTTGTACGAGTCAGCCTGAGGTATCAAAACTACTGATTTTTTTTACGTATCAATATATTGAACAAAAGGAGGACATGCTGGCACTCTAAATTTTTGCGGACGAAATTTTGTAGTCATTGTGTTCCAATATTGCTGTCATTTTGTATTATATATTCTTTCCTGACTTAAAAATATTGCTGATATACTATACAGCTATATAGATTTACATATTAAAGTGCAATTATGGTTTATACGATTTAAAGAATTTGATATGTATTGGAATATATATTCAATGCCCGTTAGCATTGTAACCAATATCGTTTTTTTAATTTATAGAAAGGCTGATCACGGATAAATTTGTATAACAAAGCAAAGTTTTATGCAAACTTTATTGACAAATATATGTATTTAATCATGTTTATATCACGGAAGTATTAATTTTACTTTATTTTTCTATGTTGATACCAAGAAACAAAGACATTAAAAATATTTTTAAAAAATCGATGTAGAGCGGTCCTGGTTTCAAGTTAACTTAGTGTTGAGCAGACCAGCCAAAAGTTAACTTGAGAACAGGTCTGGTTCGATTGGAGTTGTCAAAATTAAAGTTAACTTATGGCAGGACTGGTTTCGAAGTTAACGTATGTTAACTTATGACAGGACTGGTTCGAAGTTAACTTTTATCAGTAGCGGACCTGTTTCAGAGTTAACTTTTCGGCAGACATAAAAACAGTCCTAGGACCAAGTCCGCTTTTTACGTTAACTAGATTGTGGTCCTAGGACTGGTCAGAGCAGTCCTGAATCCTGTCACAGGTTAACTTTGACCAGTCTAAATGACTGGTTATCAAGTTAACTTGCTGTACAGGTTAGGACTGCACCCATTTGTACTATAAAAGATCTTTCATGTAAACCAAACTCCACAGGTGGCAAAATATAGTCATGATAAAATAACAACTGATATCTTCCTGACTGAAAACAATCACACAAATATGTGGCGGGGCTAACTTATTATAATTCAAAGATAGCAAGCCTAACCCGTTAATTGCAATTAATTTTTTAAATGCAGATCTATTTGTCGTTAAAAACTGTCAGAAACATACTAAAGTACAAAAGTGTTAACAAAAAAACCGAATTTCATGGGAAATTAAAAAAGCAGGAAGTCCATATAAAAAGACAAAATTAAACCAGGTTTTATAATTATATCAACATCCCACTTGTTGATGTATAA